TAAATTAGTAATAAATTTATCAAATTCATTTTGGTTAATTAATTCTTCTTCTTTTACAATCTGGTTAAATTGTATTTCTGGTTCGTAAAAATCTCCTTCTTTCATAAACAAAATTGATTTGCCATCACTGACAACCAATTCTTCTTTGTAAATTGAAATTAAATGACATTTTTCTTTGTAAATATTTTTTAAGTCAAATTTCTCAAAATGAATTAAGTTGTTAGATGCTAATAACCAGTTATGGTCATCGAAAACTGCTAGTTTTCCTTTGTTTCCTGCATCTTTAAGAGAAATACTTTTGATAACTTCACCGAAATCCAATCCAAACACTTTGACTGTCTTATCCATTCCATAAGCAAACACCTTTTCGTTGTGAAAAATTATATCGGTGATTGGGAGAGAGTGTCCGTACAATGTCAAGATCTTCTTTTTTGGGAGCAAAATCACATGAACTACGTTGCCTGTAACTGCACCTAAATACTTTTCATCTTCGCTCACTTTAATAAAACTAATATCATCTTTTAAATCAAACTCTTTTAAAATTTCTAGTTCTGATTTGTAAGCACAGATTTTAAGCAAACTTTTTTCAGAATAACAAAACAAATTACTTGTCACCGCAAAAGAATTAGCCTTTATCTCAAAATTAAACTTAATTTCCCTGTCCAAAACACCCATTCCTTCTACACAATTTTCTTTCAAAACGTATAAAACATCATTAAATAAACAAAAATCAAAAATCTCGATCATCAAACTCAAACACATTTTTTATTTCTTTATTTTCCCATTCAATAACACTAAAATGACTCATTGAAAAAAGATTTTAAAGTGTTTCAAGCAAACGATTTTGCTTTCGTGGTAGTAAAATCTTTTTAAATGGCTAGAAGAATCGTTTTTCTTATAACATATTTCGTTTCTACCTAAAAATACAAAAGTATCTTCTATAAAATTAAAATTGAAAAAATCCAATTTCTTTTTGTAAATTCGTTCTTTCAAAGTAAAAATACCTTCTCTGGTGAGAATGTAAAATGTGTCTGTGTAAATTGCCTTTATTATTCCTTTAATACAATAAGTTTCTTCTTTTTTTGGTGTCTAAATTTACTTTTTGTTACTTTATTTTTTTGTAAAAATGTATAGAAAGTCTAATAAAAATACTTGTTTGACATCTTCCATCAATGCAATCTCAAAAAAAGCTTTTCTTTGTAAATTTTAACTGTTTTATCTCCACATCCTAAAGCAATAACATCATTTACACAAAAAGTGTTTATATGACATTGTAAAGTGATTCTATCGAATGTTTCTTGTACCAAATCATAAATTATTAACTCATTGTTAGAGCTAAAATATATTTTTTGGTCATTTTGATCAATACAAGTGATTTTTTTTGTGCTAATTTTATGAAAAGTGTCATTTATTTTTACAACCCCATTCTCAAAGCCAATGATTGAAAGATTGAAGATGGCAGTAATTTTATGAGGCAGAGTCATAATATGTGATAATGAAGAAGTATTCCACTGGTAAATAGTGTTATTGTAAGTTATATATGTTTTTTTATTATCTGTGAATATCAAACTGTCTTTGTTTGATAATTCGTTACACTTTTTTTCTATCGTAAAGCTTACTGGTATTAAATCCATTGGGTATAAAAATAAATTATTTTTTTTAAATTAAAAAAAATTTAATTTTTTTTATGGCACAATGTGAAATGTGTTTAAATTCCAAAGCAATGACAATTACTTCTTACCCTTCAAAAAAAGTATGTAAAGAATGTTTCTTTATTTATTTTGAAGAAACAATACATAACACAATAACATCCTCTAAAATGTTCAAACCAAATGAAAATGTTGTGATAGGAATGAGTGGAGGAAAAGATTCTACTGTCTTGGCATACGTGTTAAACAAACTAAACATAGAAAAAAATTACAAATTAAATTTATTTCTCTTGGCAATTGATGAAGGTATTTCTGGTTACAGAGATCATTCACTAAAAATGGTTTATTACAACCAAAGAGAATTAAATTTACCACTTAAAGTAATTTCTTACAAAGATTTGTACCAAGTGACATTGGATGAAGTGGTAATTAAGACTGGTAGGAGTAATACTTGTAGTAAGTGTGGTACTTTTAGAAGACATGCATTAGAAATGGGTGCAATGGAATTAAATGGGACTGCTTTGGTTACAGGACATAATTCTGATGACATAGCAGAGACAGTCTTACTAAACTTTTTTAGAGGAGATATTCATAAATTAAAATCATGTACTCAGTCTAGGAGTACAGGAAAGATAGCCAGGTGTAAGCCATTCAAATACACTTATCAGAAAGATATTGTGATGTACGCATTGTACAAAGATCTTAAATATTTTTCTACTGAGTGTGTTTATTTTCCTGGTGCTTATAGAGGAAATATGAGGATGTTTCTTAAAAAAATTAGAGAGAATTGATAAAAGTTTTATATTAAATATCATAAAAACAGGTGATTATTTTTATGAAGAGTCTAATTTAAAATTAAAAGAATGTAAAAAATGTAAAATTACAAGTAAAAATGAATTATGCCAAGCTTGTACTTTAAGTGAATCAATATTAAAATAAATATTTTTAATTTTATAGATTATTTATTTATTAATTAAATGAGGAAAAGTATTAATTATTTATTGATTAAATAAGAGGAGTTGTCATTAATTATTTATTTAATTAAATATAAAAATAAAAAAAATTAAGTATCAAAATGTAAAATAAAATACAGGGTTATTCACATTTATATGCAAAATTATTCATATCATATGCAAAATTATTCATTTTTATATGCAAAAAAATTCATTTAAATATGCAAAAATATTCATTTAAATATGCAAAATTATTCATTTGTAATGCAAAATAATATATTTAAATAATTTAATAAAAAACCTCCTTACATGTTGAATAAAAAACTGAAGCTTGAAAACTTATGCACAAAAATAAAAATGCACCGAAAAGAAAGACAACAATTAACTTTAGAAACGATTAGAAGAATAAGAAAAATAAAATTGAGGAACATTTTCCTTATTTTAAATCAAAGCTAAATTCAGCGGAAAAAACATGGAAAAACAATGAGGAGTTGACATTTTTAATAGTTGAGCTGTTTTGTGAAGATTTTGTGGATTTTTCTGGGTGGTTTAGAAATATGAGAAGACATGTTGAAAAAGCTCTAGCGTGTCAACCGTTTAATTAATAAAATTTAAAGATTCTTAATTTATGTTTTATCCATATTTTATTTACTGAAATTTAATTTTAATTTTGCATATCAAAATGAATATTTTTTGCATATTTAAATGAATTTTTTTGCATATAAAAATGAATAATTTTGCATATGATATGAATAATTTTGCATATAAATGTGAATAACCCTGTAAATTATCAAAATGTAAAATAAAATAAAATAGAATAAAATAAAAATAAAAAAAATAAAAATAGAAATAAAAATAAAAATAAAAATAAAATAAAAATAAAAATAAAAATAAAAATAAAAATAAAAATAAAAATAAAAAAAAAAAAAAAAAAAAAAAATAAAATAAAAATAAAAATAAAAAAAAAAAAAAAAAAATAAATTATAACAATATAAAATTACACGATGAATTTGTCAAGAGACTTAATTAAAATAGGAAAAAGATTGGATAACAGAGCTCTTTTTAGAAGGTAAGGAGTACAAAATAACAGCCATTGACAAAGAAATAACAGTAGAATCACTAAACACTTTATTTTTACTATCCTTACAAACTGTTCAAGCAAAGAGACATCCTGAGAAAAGAGAAAAAGGCTTTTTTAAAGATTTATGGCTGTGACAATAAAATTACAGAAATTTATAAAAAATGCATAAATTTTGATAAATTTTGTAAAAATGATCAAAAATTCTTAAAAAAGATTTTTGTAAAAGTAAGAATACTGGAAGGAAATTCCATTGAAGGGATTTGTTTGGGAATAAATAAGTTGTTAGAGGTGAATGATATACCAGTATTGTACTACCCTGAAGTTTATGTTTATTCGTTGAATGATTCTTTTGTTAGAGATCCTAGTAAAAATGAAATGGATGGTTGTTTGGTTGTGGCTAAGGCTAAAGGCATTGTTTTGTTTGCTGAGGTGGTCGACTCTTTCGTAAGTTTATGCGAAATAAAAAAGTGTTTTGAAATGACAAATTTTATGCAAAAAGAAGAAGTGTCAGAAGAAAATTTTAAAAAAAATAAAAAAGATAATTTATAAAATTTGTATTATAAAATTTACCTGATAAAAATAATTTGATCAGACTATTTAATTTCCTAAAAGGATACCCTTATGGATAATTACAAAAGAAATTTGATTGTTGTGAATGAAGATGACGTAATTATTGGCACTAAAAAAGCACTTTCAGCTCATAAAATTAGTGATTTAACACTGCACCGAGCCTTTTCTGTTTTTATTTTTAACAAGGAAGGAAAATTACTCATACAAAAAAGGGCAGCAGAGAAATTAGTTTACCCTGGTTTATGGTCTAATACTTGTTGTTCGCACCCATTTATAAACGAAAAATCCTTTTCTGATCCAATAACAGATTGTATTAATCATGCGATTAGCAGGTTAGACTATGAATTAGGAATAAAAGTGAACAAAGAAGACTTTAATTTTTATGATAGAATGCTTTACAAAGCAACAAAAGAAGATTTTTTTTACAAATTTTTAGGAAAAGAACCTAAAACACAGCCATTTAAAGAATATAAAATTCTGGATGATATAAATTTCATTAATGAAGATGAATTTGGTGAGTACGAAGTGGATTACTTGTTTACAATTGTTAAGGATGTTATTTCTTTACCAAATAAAAGTGAGGTCGAAGAAATAAAATACGTTGATAAAAAAAGGATTGAAAGATTTAATTCACAAGAATGAATTTACGCCTTGGTTTAAGATGATATTAAAAAGTATTGATTTATTTGAAATGATTAAATAAATATTAATTAATCAAATTTTTTGTTAAATGTTTTTATAAAAATACGCCCCATGTGGGGCTCGAACCCACGGCCCTCAGGTTAAAAGCCTGATGCTCTACCGACTGAGCTAACGGGGCTATAACAAAATCAGTATTGAATTATGAACAATTGTTTTAAATAGAACAAAGCAACAAAATTAGAATCTGATTCATTTTTTTTTATTAAATCAAATTTAGTTCCAAAATAATAGTTTTTAATGAAATTATCTAATTTTTTATTTTTGAATAATATCTTTTGTGTAAAACATACTTTTACAAAATAATTGACTGATATTTTATTTGTAAAAAACATATTTAAAGGGATTTTATTACAAATTTTCAAGATAAAGTATTTTTAACATTTCTAGTATTTTAAATTTTTGGATTAGTCTTCTATCGATCTATAACTTTCTTAAGTATAAATTTAATAAAAATGCCTTGTTTTGGGGTTTTGTTGAAACATATACATTTTACATTGTAATAATTGTTAAAATTATATATCAAAACTTCAAGTTTGCTTTGTTGTCGTTCAATAAATAATATTTACACATATTTCTAATAAACTTAAAAAACATAAAATATAACAGATGATTATTTGTGCAATTATAAAAACTTAAAAAAAAAGATTATTTGATTTAAAGAATATTTTACATCCAGTTCTTGGATGGCGGGGTCTTATCCTGTTTTTGTTGTTAAATAAATTATCTTTGTAATAAACTATTTTCAATTATTATTTATTTGAATAGTTTTACCCAAACTATCGTTTTGAGATAAACAAACCATTAAAAAATATTTACATTTATTGGTTTCACCTTACCCGAAAGCTTTAGAAATGTATGTGGTCACTATAAACAACACTCCTTTTTGTTTTTATGTGAAAAAGTGAAAATTAAACATCGTTTTTATGTATTTTTTGATTTTCTAATAACATTTCAAACAACAAGCTATTTTATAGCATTTTCGCCTTTCAAAAACCATGAAAATTTTAATTTCTATGACAAAAATTTTACTTTGATTATTTTAACAAGATGTGAATTGTTTATTTTTTTAAATAAAAAGTGTAAAACTTATAATTTATATTGTAATAACAATATTATTTGCTAGTAAATATATACTTTTGAGCAAAATAAGTAAAAGATATGATTAAGTATATTATGATCTTAGAAAATAATCTCTATTTTTGTAACAAAAAAAAGTTGGTTATATCTTAAGCAACTAACTTTTGGATGGTTATTTATTATCAAATAATTATAAAATATTCTAATATTATTTTGATAACCAGATTTTACTTTAATTTAAAAATCAAAAACAAAAGAGCTTGTATTCTTTTTATACATTTGAAATTTTTTATAAAGATCGTCGATCTTAACATTATTGTATTTACAATTGTCTACTTTTTTTATACATAATTGGAAATGAAATTAAATATATTACACATATAAACAATATCAAAAACTAAAAGTTAGATTTCTTTTTTAAAAATATTAAATTTTGAACTTCATTTTACAATATGTATAGAAGTGGATGTGTTTTACTTTGATCGTGAGGATGCGTATTATTTGAGTAAAAACTCAATCAAAATTATGATTATAAGTAAAAAGAATATAAAAAACTTAAAAGATAAATCAATTTTTCAAAATTTTAGCCAAATAAAATATAGAAAATTTTAGGCAAATAAACTATGATTTTATTTTAATAAACTTCAAACAATAAGTTTTCATAATAATCGAAAAATTTTGCCTCTTTAAAACAAATTACTTATAAATATTAAATTATTAAAAAAGTACATTTAAAATATCTAATTGGTTTAAATATTTTATTGATTTAGTATTTGTAAAACATAAAATTATTGCTTAATACATTGTTTTTACAGAGTATTAAATGATATTAATTCTTAATTTAAAAATTCACTTTCATTATTATGTTTCAATAGATCTTTTGCATCTCTAATTTTTAAAAATTGAAAAATCATTTAAAAAAATAGGAAAGTAAAAAAAAGAGAGTTTAATCATTCAATGCTTGAAAAATATTTTAAGCTTGCAAAAATACTAGGATGAAGGAAAACAAGTAAATAAATATACTCGAAACAAAGCTATAGTAATTTTCTAAATAAATAAAACCTTCTTTTTGGGAAAAATTACCCGTGGGCATAATTTTATATAAATTTATGATTTTTTTTATAATTTTTTTATGTTTTCCAAGTACAAATATATAGTTTTTACACCGAAATAATCAATAAGTTTTAAGATATATTATTAGAAGAAAAACCAAGGACTCATTATATGTTACGCTACACAAACTAGTTAATTAAATTAAAATTTTAATAAATTATACACATTATTAAAGTTATGAACTGCTATAAATTATACATGAACTCTTTAGATCGAGAAAATTTTTCAAAATTAAAGCATTATGTTGGTTATTTAAAAATAATAAAAATTAATTTGACCACACAACCCAAATATATGGATATTCATCGATGCCTGGTTTTTTTTTTTTTTGTTGCCTAGGGATGGGAAATCCATACGAAGATCTTTTCGCTATACCTTCTTTACAAGAATATTCATACCTAGTCGACGGAAACATACGGTAATATATGTTTCCCATACTTTAGGTATAGCTCAAGATACTGCGAGCCTTTCACCCGCTAAAACCCACCCCCGTGCACTCTATTGACTGCCTAAGTCTACCTTACCTTGCAGGCTTTGGTTACAGGAAGTATTGATTTCCTTTTGCCTGGATGACAAAAGGATGGTTCGTTTTACTACAACCTCCTCAAGGTATTCTACTATTGCTAGTATATTCCCTTTCGGATCTTTTCGATATCGTTCGCTAAACTCTATCGTGTCGTCACATAACTCTCCTCCCAAGAGCCTGCATCGATGCCTGGTTTCGATAAAAATATCGGTCCAAAATATGTTTATTTTTTAAAAATTTTTTAATTTTTACTTTTTATAATACTTTATAAGAAAAACAGATACATAAAATCTTTTTGTTGTCAAACTTAACTAAAATCATTTTATGTATCTGTTTTTCTTTAATTTTTAAAATGCTTAAAATCCCACTGTTACGAATTATTATTTATTTAGTTTGTTAATAAAAATAATAAAAATTTATTATAGATGATAAACAAGATATAAACGTTCAAAAAAGAGCTTAAATAAATTTTATTCAAATAGCTTTTTTTGTTTCCTCACTACCAGAGACTAGCTTTTCAAAAAAGATGAACATTACATAGATAAAATAAACCGTAAAATTAGTACATTTGACTTCAAAATTAGGGAAACCTTACTCGCTCTTTTAAAAATATTAAAGAAATGAAAATTTTATGATGATCTGAACACAAATGCTATAATTTTATAAATAATTCAACTTTAAATTCGATATATTTTTAATGATAGCGGAATTTTTTATATAGCCCTGTGTGCGCGTAAATCTATTTGGTTTTAGAAGTCGGAGATAATATTTCAAGTTTTTAACATTAATTAGGTGTATTTTAATTGTAAAATTTGGTTTTCTAAGTTTGTTTGTATTTTTAGCGTTTAAGTCTGTTTCTAACCCCCTTTTAAACTTTTATTTTTTTAGTTTCTGATTTTGACATAATGACACACTGTTAGAACGAGACTTAAATAAGGAAAAATACAAAAATAAACGGTTGATTACAATAGTACCAAGATATTTTTAATTCTTATTTAAGGAAAGTTTTGTTTTGAAAAAACATATATTTATAACTCTTAGATTCATATCCTTTTTATAATTAAGATAAAACCAGGTAAATATACCTCCTTCACTATGATGATTATTTCCCAAATTTTAATTAATTATTCATTAGAAAAAGAATACAGTTTGTGTCTAACTTAAACAATAGAGAAGTTTTATTAAAATACAATGTTTTTAGCTCATTTATTATTCAATAGGAAATTTTAATTTTCTAAAAAACAAGTATAATCTTTTTGTATAATTAAACAAGCTTGTTGTTATGTATCTCTGAAAATTTTAAATATAACATAATTAAATATGAAAGACTGATGAATTTACAAAAATTTTTTACTCTTTCTCATGCTCCAAATTTCATATATTTAGAATAATGTCATTATAAATCCAATATATTACAGTTAAACGTGTAAAGCTAAGATTTTTTAAAATTTTGTTTGTTTGAACAATTTAATAATAATAAGAACATATTCTTATGATATTACTAAGATATGAATGATAATTTTGCAAAATTTTTTACTATAAATAAAAAATTTTTATACACCCTTATGATAAGCTTTTATATTTTGCTTTTAAACGTAAAATGCACTTCATTTTTTGACTTAGATTACTTTTAAAAGCTTCTAATACGAACCTTTTTGTAAATAACGGCAACATTAACAATGAATCACCTAAAAATTATTCGAGAAAAAAGAAGCCACAGTTTATTAGAATCTGATTCTACATCATCAAACAATGAAGCATTGGATCTTAGAATTCATAAAAGAGACAAAAAAGATTACAATGAAATCCACTTGCCAGAAAGCAGCAACCAAGCAGAAAACTTAAGTCTTGATAAAAACCATACTAACGATTCTAATTTCGGCTTATCATATAGAGAGAAGATTATGAAGGTATTTTTTTCTAGTTTAAAAGATGTTTTAGAAAAAATCGCACATTTAAACCTATTTAAAATGTTAGATAACGTTGGAAATAAAATTGTAAAGCATTTTAACACAAAAGCAAATTCTAGCAAAGAACATTTGTCTATAAAACGTTTTAGGCTTTTGGATCAGTTTTGAATTTTAATGTTTATTTTATATATAAAAATGGATAAGAAAACAATCGAAGTTAATCAAAAAGAAGAAGCCTTTCTAAAAATTTACGAATGCTTTAAAGATTATCTTATAAATTTTAATACACATTATTGTAATCTAATGTCCAGAAGTTCCGACTATTCTGATAAATATACCTATGTAAAAAAGACTTTCATTAATGGTGCGTATTTAAAAAAGACAATCGACCTTGATTTACAATCACTTGTTTACGGAATATACAAAAATTTTGAAAATGATGATTCCTGAGATGACTAGCTATGAGCAGGTTTTTGAAAGATTTCCATTTTC